TAAATAGTTGGATTCATGGTTTTTGTGTAACGTAAATGCAAGCCAGCTTCTCTTAGAAAGTCCTCCGCGAAGGCATAACTCCCTTATACAGGTAATTGTTGGGTGCTTTGATGTAATTCAGTGAGCGAACAAAATTAATCCAATCAATACCGAAGAACGGGTTGATTACATGTGGAGTTTTCCACCAGGAATGTAAATGCGAGCAATTTTCTCTTAAAAAGGTTTACACAAAAAGAAGCATCCAATCCCTTAAGCAGATAGTGCGTTCGCGTGCTTTTCCGTAATCCAATCCTAATTTTCATACATTTAAGTAGTAAGTTGACATACACCTTATTACAGACAAAATAACAACCTTTTTTTAAAGATTTTTTTTATCAACTTGTCTGAATTCTCTTTATCTCTTGAGGAGTATAAGAATTTCAGCAAACAAAACTGGCCTGAAATTTTATAAAATGTAACTGATGTTTTGATTCAGTTTAGAAGTAGTAACGTGAGCTTTACTGATATTTAAATATTTTTTGGCAGATCTCATCCTAAAAGGGTGTAAAGATAAATTGATTTTATTTAATTTACAATCAATGAAAATCATTGAAAGCAATCACTGAATGAATGAAAATCAGAAAAAACTATTATGCATACAATTGTCTCTTATTTATCTCCTGATAAATCAGACAAATTGCCTGCATAATAGAAGCACTTTGAAAGAGTTGACAGTTCTTAAGGGTTTTATGCACTCCACAAAAAATGTCAAAATAAAATCTTATTATTCATAAGTATAAAAAGGAAGTAAACGAGTAAAAGATTTTTTTTTTTTTTCCCTCCCTAGATAGGGCATTAAATCTAAAATATTAATATTAATTATCAATCTATATTTTTGTTATGATTAAAAACATTAATATGGTAAGCTTAAAGAGCGTGCAAAATCGCTGACGTTTTAATCATAGCAAAAGTCAGTACTAAAAAAATACATTAAAATTATGAGACAGATTGAGAAAGAGATGGCCTCTATTTAATTTTCAAGTATATTGGACGCGAGACGAAAACCTGCGGTTTTTGCCAAAATGTAGCCTAAACTGATAAGAAGAGGGAAATAATGCATAGCCGGCGGCTACTCTGAGCAGCGACAATGGACTACCCAAAGATCTACAGATAGGCGATTCTCTAAAATGGGGAGGGAATGGATGGTACGACAGTTGTACCAATGCCGGCGTCTGAGAAAGTCATTCTCCTGGTACGACTGCTGTACCAGCCGGCTTCGAGAGGTTAAGGAACAGAGGTTTCTATGTGCAACTGTATTTAAGCATCTCACAGCCATCAGCAAATTGTCACGCTGATTTGCAATATAGAGGATTTGCCCATTTTTATCAAAGTGTATTTTGTTATTGTACTGAATTTTTTTACTTACTATGTATTAAGTTCTAATTCTCATTTTACATTGCTTTACAGTTAAGAAAAGGTAGATTATTTTATAAATAATTCAAATTTCATGAATCTGTAAAAGAAAATTTTGGTCTTATATTAATGACAACAATTTTTACAGAAGATTTTCAAGCTAGGGACTGCAAAATATTGATTATGATTAATATTCAGGCAAAGATTTTACAGAACTGTGAACTTTTCCATTATTTCTTGAAAAAAATTAAAACATTCCTTCAGTGATTTTATAGAAAAATGAACTTGCAGACTTTCAATTTGAATTTATTGTTAAAAATATTTACAAGATTATTTATTTAAAAAAATATTTATATCAAATTCTATAATATTTCCATTGTTTCGCTGCTGCTGTAATGCTTTTTTCTAAAAAGGCCTTTTTCTCAAGATAAAAAATATGTGACTCAAAATTTTAAATTAACAGTTAACTCTTTAATTCTTTCTCTCTGTTCTAAAAATTGTAATAACCTCCCTGGATTGCATCATTTCTAGATCATTCAATTTTACATGGCCTGTGCAGCGCTGATGACTTAATAATTGGGAACTGAAACTTTAAACCAAAACCTTTCTCTTTGTATGCTTCCATCTTGCATAACTACGCACTTTAGCTTCCCTCTCTCCTCTGCTAGGATGTAATTTTGCTGGCCTGCTTTCTATCTCAACAATATAAAAAATGTAAATTTTCTTGAATAGGCACGATTAGGGTGCCAAGTGATTGTGACCACAAAAGTCAATTACAAATAAAAATGGAATTAAATTCGCTTCGACTGCCAAGATTCTTAGATATTACAAACTCAACATGTTGGCATATTACGCAATCAGAATTCTTCCTCTTCAATATGAACCTACCTACGTATCAACACTGCTTGGTCTTTTTCTTGTGTTTTTATTTCATTCATACATACATTTCTGAATCCAGTCCTGATAACAGAAAAGTACCCTTTATTATAGCATGTCAAATACCTCCCCGAATCCTCCAAGATCTGTCTGTTGTCCCCTGTTTGTATCGCTTCATTACTAGCTGCATAATGTCATGATTAAAATTTAACCTGCCTTCTACAGACAAGCAAACAGGGGATTATTTTCATCTTATGTTATCCTACCATCAGAAAATGTGTGTCTTAATAGATATGATATGGTCAACTGAACACGCCTAACAAACAGAGAAAGATGGAAACTGTTGCTTGCAGGAACTTTGTACTCGTAGCATTCAAAACAGAAATTATGGTAAAATCGGAGTGCTTTGCAAAATAGCAAAAATTGCTTAGAACAGTTTTAAGAATAGCAGAAATGAAACATGTTGAATCCTAATTGTTTATTAAATAGAGGCATCAATTCCATAGGACCAATTGGTGCAACTTTGGCAGGATTTTCACCAACTTTCATGGCTAATGAAATGATACGCAAGTACAGACAATCGCTTTAAATGTGAAATCCTTAACAGAATTCAGCAGTAAACCTTATATAAAAATATTTTAAAAAATTATCATAAAGCCTTGCTACCTGCTGGATGATCAAGTAACATGAAAGAAGAAAATAATGTGTTAATAAATCCGTGCTGCATAATTAAATTTACTTATGTTATTTTTCATTTTTCAAATAATTTCTTTTCTGGGCATAATTACATATATATTTTTGTTTTTATAAAAACAATATTTAATTAGAATTTCATGTTTTGTTTTTATGAGGGGAAATATGAGCTCTTTGTAAAAATTTTCACAGTTTATTGTTGGATACGTGTATAATAGTTAGAGTTCCGTAATGATAGACAATATTTCTGTCAGTAACCCATAAGAAAAAATCCAGAGCTGTTTTAAATTTGATCTTGGAGGAAACTGAAGGGGACTTCCTATCATCCTGTGTTTATTATCCCCGATTCTGTTTTGATGGTAATCAGCAGTGGCCAAACGTTTAAAGTAACGATAGTGATAGTTCACCCTCTTGTTTTGTTCCCAGTGGATCAACACACTGGCTGCTTGAGATTTTTATGATTTTCCTCTGACTTCAGTAAAAAATTTTCTCAAGTCTTTCATAAAAGTTTTCCCATTTTAGAAAGGTAACTCAGGTATGCTTTATAATAATTAAACAATTCAGTTATGTTCGAATTGATTACTATATTGCTTTTTAAAGAGGACAGAGTCTCCCTTATATGTATTAACATTTTATAGTTATTAAAAGTGTATGTTTGAATTTTAGTGGATTGAAATTTTAAAGTTTATTATTACATGCTCTGCTGGTAGGTAAAATATTTATTATGTAAATGCACATTATATTCATGTGAATAAAACATGCTTTTTATTTCATTTAATATCAGAAATTGATTTCCCTTGTATGTACAGTATGAGAAATATACAAAGTAAAATTTTAAGTTTAAATGCTATATTTTCCGGCATAATAATGCACATCTATAATTTCAAGCTACATTTCTTAATTTTTAAGTATATTCATTATATAACACGCACCCTATTCTTCACGAAGAAACCTAATAGATGCATGTGCTATGCTCTATAGGACACTTATTCGAAGATTTGTCCTAGCCTTTCAAACAACAATATGTACAGTGGTTTTAAATGATCGAGGGAGTAAATATTCTTGCAAAGAGCGTGGACTGTATTCAGTGCAGCTGTCCAAAAGCTATTGTAGAGTTTTGAGAAAAGGGGGATATAATTTGGAGTAAGAATGCACTTCCAACCTGAATGAATTTGCAGAATTAGGATTCAGATGTTTCTGTAGATACTGTGATTTTGAAGGGAACATCAAAGATTTTAGTTGAAATACAGTTGATCCAGAGTTCCTTTTAGTAATAAATATGGCTTCTGCCAAACAAAACTACACAGTGCTGGTTTCAAACACAGTCATTCTGTTTGTGAAAAAAATGGAAATCGTGCTGCAGCAAGGATGTTTGGTATTGGTCAAAGCTGGAACGGATAATTATTTATTTATGGATCAACATAATAATGATGGTGAAGAGGAAACAGAAATTGATAATGTGCTTGAAGATATAATGGAAGACTAACATGACAAACTTTTCATGTTATCTGATAATGAAATGTTTTTATGTTCAAAGGGTGTGTCATTCCTTTTAAATAAACTGCATAAGTACACGTAAAAATCTTTCTTTTGTGTGCTGATTTTTTTCCTTACTTCTAATCAATCATTTTTATATCTGGCATATAATGTGCACCAGTAAATTCCAGTCATATGGTTGGTGTTTAAAGTGCGTATTATACGTTGGAAAATATTTTAACTACTTGGTGCAAATTGTGTAACCTGGTTAAATGGCAACTAATACCAAACATGGCATTTGATAATTTCAGGCTGTTTTCTCAAATTTTAATTTCCCATTAGGAGCAGATTTTGTGAAAGCAAGAAATTTAGTTTTAAACTAAACCTTTTAATCACATAAGATGCGGCATCTTGTGTAAATGTCACAAAATCTAGAGCTTGCCTTTCATCAAACTAAGAATATAAAGAAACAGAGCCATATATTCAAGCTTCCAAGGTATTCTAATGAACATAACTGCAATTTTTTTTAAGTGTGTAATGAAATTTCATAAAATTTTCTATTTTATATGTATATATATATTAGACATTAATATTTTACCTTTTCAGTTCTTTAGTTCAAGCAAAGAAATTGCCTTCTAGAGTATCAGTAAACACAGCTCAAGAAGTTTCTCAAAGCAAGTTGGGTAACCACCTAGCAGGTAATCATTACTACTGTCTTATAAATTTCAATAGTGGTTGCTTTATCCTAATCTGAAATCACAAGTGAGAACACTGTGTTAATCGATACATTTAAAACACAAATTAATGTATCTCATCTAGAACATCCATGGTACTTTTTGGTTAGTGGGCTGGTGTTTTTAATTGTGTACCAAGTGCGATAATCTGTTTATTTCACTTAATGCGCTGTGGACGCTTAACTAATCTATATGGATTCCACAGTTTTGCCATTTCTAAATGAGTCAAGATTAAATTCTTCCAAGACAAAACTGTCTTCCTTAGAGAAAAACTGTTCAAAAAACCACAAAATCAAATTGGATTTTACTATTGATGATATTTTTGTATTAGTCTTGGTTTTTAAATTTAATAAAATGTCTGTTTCCTGAAGCTGTATTAAGGATACCATCCCTATCTCTAATTAGATTTCAAGACAAATAGATTTGGTGCCCTGTTAACTGAAAAGTACCAACATTTACCGGTTACTTGCACTATTTTTATTGTCATATTTACTTTGTCTTAGCATCTTCTCGTGCCAGGGTCTCTCATCCAGTTTCAAAATTACAAACAGATCAGTCTGCAACCCTGAATAGAAAGCTGGTGCGTAGATCTATACCTGCTTTCCAGAGATGTAACAATAATCAAGAAAGTATGATCAAAATATTATAAATTTTATTTTGCTTGTATTAATGAAATTCAGCATCTATATATATTTATAATTTACTTTACAGGGCAATAATTTATTTAACCCATTCTAGACCGACGTCGCGTATACATAACTTGAAAAACGGAATTTTTTTTTTTTTTTTTTTTTTTTTTTAAATGCCTGCAGATGGTGCTAAATGGTAACAGTTTTCACATCGATCAACTCATGGGGCTTTTGACCTTCATGTATGAGCATCAGTTTTTGTTCTGTGCTTCTGGTTTTCATAGATTTTTTGGCCTAAATACACTGGGAATCACGGCACTTTAAGTTAAAGGGACACTGGCGAGTTTTATTTCGTCAGGAATTTTTTTTTTTTTTTTTGTGTGTGTGTGTGTGTGTTTCTTTATTAGAATGTGAGGAAGTGAAACCAACTCAATGTTTTCATTTATGTTGTTTTTTTTTAATTAGGAGAAACACATTTAGTGGGAAATTAAATTTGTGGGAAAACACATTTAGCTGACTATAGCGGGTGTAATGTCGGTAAACTTCCTTAATGGAAAAACTCGGACCAGTTGTCCTTTTTTATGTTTATTTTAAAACTTAACATAGATTTTCTTAGTTAATGAAAAAGTAACTTTACAGCATTATTATAGAAGGGGAAAGACATCAGCTTTCCTGATGCGTAATGCATCTAACTTGCTCGGCGATTGTCCTGTGTGTCGATCCTTTTTTTGAATTATTCCACACACAGCAGAATTGGGTAATAATTATTGCTTAATTTTCTTTCACACTTCGTATTTGTAATTTTGTTTTCATGAGTATAGCTATAATTTTAGTATTTTGCATGTGTCATTTATTTCTATTAATGTGATATTCTTTATATTATTACATATTAAGAATTAGTATATTAAGTATAAATCTTCAAAAATTGAGGTCATTATATTAAAATGCTGATTTTATGTGAATTATTTTGGTAAAAGTATGCTTAACTGCTGAAAATGCATGGCCTGGTAGCAACGTTCCATTTCGGGAGAGTACAGTCCTGTGGGCACTTTTCATTCTCCGAATGCTGGTCTTGAGCAGTATCTTTTACATTTTCAATGTTAATGTTCAGTTATTTATTTGTTACTTTTAGGATTTGTTTCGTATTTATATCCACATGTTTTGCATTTAAGTCTTTCAAAACTGAAGGGAAACACTCCAAAGTTAAACATAAAATTAACAAAGCAACAACCTTGTGTTGGCGTAGATTTAGTAAAGAACTCGATCGATTTCAAGGGTAAACAGATACAGGTCCCCCTTATAGATTTCTTTGCTTCTGATGAAGAGGGACCTGTTTGCTCTCGAAATCGATTGAATTCTTTACTAAATCTACGCCAAACACAAGGTTGTTACTTTGTTAATTTTATATGAGTGCTTGCTTCTAATACAGTAAAAAGTATAAAATCTGAACCTTTCAATCATCAACTTTTTTTGCTTTTTTTTACCTTTTTTTATCTTTCAATCATCAAAAAACTGCTGATGTTTTTTGATGGAATTTTTTTATTTTTGGATAATCAGGCATGAGGAGAATCTTGTTTCTTAATTTCACTCCGGTGAATCATTATTTGCTACTTTCATTATCACTTGACTATCAACACACTGCAGCTTGAGAAATAACTCATGCAATGATGTCTAAACTCATATATATATATATATATATATGTAAACTTAAAAAGCCTCTAAAGTTAGAATAAAATTGTAATCAAAGCAAGTCAATTCCTCAACAATATTAATAATTGCAATGGTGGTTAAGAGATTAAACACTGTATCTAAACATATTAAAATAAGAATACATCAGCAAATAAACTTGAAAAATAAAAAATATAAAATGTATAAATATAAAAAAGGGAGATTAATTTTTATATTTTTGTATATTTTTTCCCTTTTGCCATTTTTTTTTTATTTTCAAGTTTATTGTATGTAGAATAAACTTGAAAAATAAAAATAAAAAAAATGGCAAAAGGGAAAAATATACAAAATATAAAATTAATCTCCCTTTTTTATATTTATACATTTTTATATTTTGTGTATTTTATTTTTCAAGTTTTATTCTGCTGATGTATTCTTATTTTAATTTTGATATGTTTAGATACAGTGTTTAACTTCTTAACCACCGTTGCAATTATTAATATTGTTGAGGGATGGCCTTGCTTTGATTTGAATTTTATTTTAACTTTAGATACTTTAATTTACTTCAATTCTGCAGCTATAGCACAGGACTGGTTAAAAAAATTTTTGCTTTTAATTTTTAACATGTGAATATATATATATATATATATATGTCATAATAAAAGGAAAAGACAGAACACTATAGATCGGTGATCTAAAGAACTTGGCAGTCGAGGCAGTTTTAATTCCATTTTTATTTTCAACTGATGTTTGTGGCCACAATCACTTGGCACTCTAGTCGTGCCTTTCCACAGAAGATTTACATTTTTGATATTGTTGGGATAGAAAGCAAGCCAGCAAATTACATCTTAGCACAGTAGAGAGCAAAAGCTGAAGTGCGTAGTTTTGAAAGATGGAAGCACGGGAAGAGAAAAGTTTTGATTTACAACGGCAGTTTCAGTTCTAAATTATTATGTCATCAGAGCTGCGCCGATCATAGAGTGATCTAGAAATTACGCAATGCAGAGAAGTTATTACGATTTTAGAATAGAGAGGAAGAATTAATGTTTATAGTTATATTATAATTCTGATTCATATAATTTATCTTACATATATATGTGTGTGTGTGTGTGTGTGTTGAACACCAAAAAGCGTGGTAACCTTTTATGTTGACATTACGCTTGGCAATGATTACAAACTTCTGCTAAGAGGTGTATTCTAACCTGCTTCTGCTAACTTGTAAATTAGCTTCTGCTAACTTGTTGAGTAGGAGAAATTTAACAGAAATTTCTTTCCATATGCAAAAAATAGATTTTGTAAATCATACTCATAGGCTGAACAATTACATTTCATGCTGTTTAAATTGAGAATGACTGATTTGTTAGTCAGATAAGTGCAGAGTTGGTGTGGCTGTACTGAGAGGCGAAAATTTTTGTTTAATTTAGGGAAGCATATCACAACAAAATTGAGCAATAGCAAAATGCTTGGAATTTAGGGAGGCGCTTGACAACAGAATTTCAAGCCCACAAAGATTGCACCAGGTGGCGAAATGTCTAGTGCCAGCCCAGGATAAGCTTTAAATGTACGTGAGAATTTATTTGTTCAGGGCTTAGATAAGCCCTAAGAATGTGTGAGAAGTAGTCATAAGTATAATAAAATACAAGCTTATTTCATCCAATGTGTGCTATAAGAAAGAAAAACAAAATTGTGAAACAATATATGTCTAGTTTTTAATCGCATGATACAATACGAATAATGTATAGTGGACATCTGCTGAGTTTTATGATATGAACTGTAAATTGGGAGGCTTTCAGATATTGCAAATAAAAGGTAAAATTTCCCAGTTAATGCAATTTTCAAACAAATTTGGAGAAGTAATTGATGAAGGTGATAAAACAAAAGTTTTTCATTGCATTGACAATGCACCAATCATTAATCAACTGACAGATATCAAGTATTGCAAAATCTACAGTATGGTCTAAAGCCAGAAAATATTGTTGCTCGTAGTGAAGAAAGTGACAGAGGTGGTTGAAAAAAAAAAAAAATTCAATTGTCAATTTAGTGGGAATTCTCAACATGGCAATTGCAGTACTTGAACATTGGAACTTTATAACTAAACAGGAAGTTATGTCCATCTGCGGAATTAAAAAGTATTAGTGCAAAAAACAAAGCAAATTAAACAATTTGCATTGAAAGAAATATTTAATAAAGCAAACAAAGACCGAGATTTTTTGAAAATTTTGATTCCCTTAAGGCCATAAATGCTTCATTGTTTCATAAATCACTATTTCATATATTTAATTTTATAATGTCTACATGCCATTTTACTAGATTTAAAATGATAATCTAATATCCAGATGAATCCCATATCCAGAATTGCCAGTCTCTATGAGTCTGGATCTTGGACTTAGCGTTATATTAAATTGCTGATTATTCGGTTGTGAGCATGGAAATGTTTAAATTGTAAGACTAGTTCATTTAGAGTGCAAGGTATGAGCAAATGTGCTGTGCCTCATGATCCTTAAAGACCATTTTTAAGTTAAATAAAGATTGCTCTTATTTCATTTCGCAGAAAATCTAATAAATACATGATATAAAAATACAGTAAAAATTAATGTGAGATAAACAAATGTCGCAAAAATTTTCAAGGGGATACCAAAAAATGATATGAAAATTTTACTTGCTCCAATTGCTGTGAAGTTGACACTGAAATTTAAAAAAAGGGGGGGAATCCTGAACCTCCTTTGCCCCCCCCAAAAAATAGAAAAAAGAAAAATTTTGATCTTTGTATAAGAATTTTGATCATCTTCTGGAGCTTGCTGAGTGCTACTAGGAATCCGTTAAGTGGTATTTTTTCTGATGTATTGGCAGGTATTGACTAATACTCAAGCATCCAGTTTTCTGTGTTTTCCGTCTGTCTTGATATATATGAAAAATAATCGTGGTCTGTAAATTTGTCAATCCGGTTTAAAAATATGTATGGCTTAATTTGTTTACTTCTAGTTTAAATGACATTAACATACTTATTAGTGCTGTCATCAACTTTTCTTTCTGATTAAGAAATTAGGCAAAATATAAAGCAGAAATATTTTATAAGATTATTTATTTTAGACAAAGTGCACAAGAGATATCTGCATGAGAAATTAAAAGGTTCCATTTTTATGTATGCTATTTGTTTGACAATTATTTTAACAAATGTACTGAAATCATAAATTTGATTCTTTTTTGAGCTCAAAAATGAAAATGTTTGATAGATTCGTAATTTTTGGGACATTTTTTTTAAATAAACTGATCTAAAAGTGATTACTTATTTGTAATTGTAATAATTATATATATATATATATGCTTTTTGCTTAATTTTTCTCATTCTCTAATAATAAAATAGCTATCAAAAAAGACAAGAGCAATTTTCTTCCATTAAAGGAAATGGCTGGTCAGAGAGTATGCAATGTAAATGCTAACTCATCTAGTGCTGTGCTACAGAATAATAATACTAACAAAGTACTAAATGGTAAGTTTTTGTTTATTTGAAATATGTAACACAAAAATCTCATTTAATGAAATTTCCAGAATGTGTCATTTTCTTATAAAATGAGAATATTTGATGTTTTCTAAATTAAAAGGTAATACAGTATAAAATCTGAAATCTGGATGTCCATTATCTGGAATGATCTAAAATCCGTACTTCAAAACCACCAACAACGTTTTTCTCGTAGACTTTACGCATGTGCATTTGATTCCCCCCTTCGTGCATAATAAAACATCTGGACAGTCCCCATTCTTAATTTCACTTCGACATTAAATAAAATACCTTGTTATTGAAGATTCAATCATTTTTAGCATAAATTTGTTCGATCAGTAGTTTGGTTCCGTTCCTGCATATCTGCTTCATATAAATCTCAAACTGAAACTTTCCACATAGATACAGCGTTGATCCGACGCCAACCTGGCAAATCATTATTTTATTATACTTTCCTTTCATCACTGCATGTATTCATGACAACTTGAGTAATAACTTGTGTTACAATGCTTAAACAATTTTTTTATGTTAGTAACTGAATAATAAAGGAGTATGGTAACCTTTTATGTTGACATTACGCTTGGCGATGATTAGAGATTTAAGTTAAATGTGCTAACAAATGTTGACAAGGAAAAATTTTCTTTCTATATGCTAAAAATAGATTTTGTTGATGATACTCATAGACCCAAAGCTTACATTTAGGACTATTTGAATTTAGAATAACTTATTTGTTTTTCACATAAACCCAGAACCAGCGCTATGGCCGCACTGAGTAACAGAATTTAGGACCCACAGAGACTGCATCAGGCGGTATGATATCTAGCGCCAACCGTCAATAAGGCTTAAGTACATGTGGGAATTTATTTATTCAGAACTCTGATAAGCTTTAAGCATGTGCAAGAAATAGACATAAGTATAATAAATAACTAAACTAATACAATTCAGGCTTAATTGTCTCAGTGCACGATAGAAGCAAGATTAACAAGTTGTCTTTACTCACCAAGCTTATGATGCATAACCAAATATGTATAGTGAAGGATAGTTAAATTTGATGATAATAGCCGTAAATTTTAAAGGTTTTCTGTTATCGCCAAAGAAAGGTGAAATTTTCCAATTAACGGATTTTGTAAAGAAATGTGGAGAAGCGGTAATAAATGAAGATGATATAAAAGAAGTTTTTCATTTCACAATGCTTCTCAATCATCAATCAATTAATGAATGGTGAAATCTTAGTATGGTTCTAGATCCGGAAAGAAGAAAGTAACAGAGAAGTTGCTGAAAACGAGAAAATTTCGATTGACGAGTTAGTAGGAATTCTCAAAACAGCAGTTACAGAACTTCAACAATGTAACTGAGCAAGAGATTATGTCTGTTTACAGAATTAAAGAGAAAGTATTAGCACAAAAAAATGAAGCAACTTTAAGAACTTGCATTGAAAGAAATGTTTAATAAAGTAAACAAATAAATATTAAGCTTTTTTTTTTTTTTTGTAAATATCGTTACCCTTTATAAATACTTCATTAATTCATAAATCACAATTTTATATTTTTAATTTTATAATTTCTACATGCTATCTTACTGGATTTAAACCGATCATCTAATATCTGGAAAAATCTGGAATCGCCAAAGTCCCGATGAGTTCGGATTTTCGACTTTGTACTGTACACTACAAAGTTAAAGATCTAGAATCATCAGGGCTTCAACCATTCTGGATTTTAGATCATCACTTTAAATTTAGTAAAATAACATTAGAAATTATAAAATTAAAAATATAAAACACTTATCGTATTTGACAGCATATAAGACGCACTTTTTTCCCTCAATTTGGTCTCAGAAAAGTTACCTGCGTCTTACACGTGAAGGACACAGATTAACTTTCAATACTGAATGCTATTTTTAGCCTGGATAAAGGTCTAGACACTCATAACTTTTTCTACATCTGCCATAATTATTTTGTGCATGCGTGAAATATCTGTTGCCAAAAAGCGCCAAAGCTCGAAGCTGATGTCAAAGTTTGAACAGTTTTGACGGTCACATTATGGAGCCTTTCCTTCTTTACATAGACTTTCTTTGACTCATCCGACACACGTGTCGGTATCGGTGCTTAAAACTGTTTGTTTTAAAAAAAATACCCTGGAAAATATGACTACAGCAAACAAAAGATTAAGCTATACAATTCAGTATAAACTAGGAGTGTTAAACTACGCCAAAGTGCATGGAAACAGAGCAGCAGCAAGGCATTTCGGTCCACCACCTACCAAAAAAAAAATAGCTTGCCGTTTGTTAATTTTCCTTAATAAAACTATGTTTGGTAATTGCATTCAATGATTGTTTATTTGGCTTTTACAAAACGTGAGAACTAAAAGAAACCACATTTTAAGTTATTGTGGTAACACGCTATCGCGCGGACTATTGAAACCTTTTTTTTTTCCTTGTGTATGGCCTTCTAAATAAGGGTGTGTCTTATATGCCGTCAAATACGGTATTTATGACCTTTAAGTCAAAATTCACAAAGAAAGTTAATTTGCTTTATTTAACATTTATTTAAATGTAAGTTATTTAAGCTGTTTTATTTTTTTTTTTTTTTTTTTTTTTTTTTTTTTTGAGATTATGGCTAACACTTCTTTAATTTTATAGATATACCTTATTTCTTGTTCAGTTAAAAAGTTTCATTTTTCAAGTACTGTAACTTGCGTGAGAATTCTCACTGTCATCGAAGTCTTTTCCTTTTGATCAACCTCTTTGTCACTTTCTTCAGTATCGGTAACATTATTTTGTGGTTATGCTACAAATTTCGGCCCTCATTAGTTTATTGATGATTGGGGCATTTTCATTGCAATCTTATATTTTATTATCTTCATTTATTATCACTATATATTTCTTCACAAATTCCATTAATTGGAATGGCTTGTAATATCTGAAAATATACAAATTTGCAACTGTCACCTTGAAATATAAGAAAATGGCATGTCCTCCCATGGCATGCAACAGGTTATACGTTAAAATATTTCAAATATTATTAGTCTTGCCACTTTTCAGAAAATTTAGCATAGGTTTTTCACAGCTTTTGCATCACCAGTAAACCAACTAGTTTCAAATGCTGCTGAGTTTCTGGTATAAAATGATTTTCAAACCATTCATTCATTCATTAATGTGTGTTATTCATGCACTTTTGTTTGAACAGTAGATGACAGGAAAAATCTTTGATCCTTTAAATGCCCGAAGTCATGTATTTTTCCAGTTATGAAAAGTTCATGTTTGTGCATTCTTGCAGCATTTTCGCATGCCAGAATCATAAGTCTTGCTTTAGAATCTTCAATACCAGTTGGAATTTTTCTCTAGAGGTTGTCAAGATAATGCAGGGCATATTTTGCCAGAAAGGACTAGTTTCATTTGCACTGTAAATTTATTCTGGAGATGAATTTTTTTGATGAGAGTGATGAATTCATTTGGGAAATATTCAAGTGTTTCAGTATAAGCTTGAAGCTGTTTCATTAGAAAGGTTTAACTGTTTGAGACTGTGGCAATTATTAAATTTGGTTAACGAATCGATCAAATATATTTAAGTCGATTTCACAAGTAAATTAACTCTAAAAAATATTTTGGCTTGAGGCATTGGCTTGTCGATGTCACACCCTCACTACAAAGCTGTCTAACTCATTCAGTTATCACTTTGTCTTCATCAATTTTAGCATAATAAATGATTTTTCTATTAATCATTGCAAGTGAAGTATCTGAATCAACAACAATAAAAAAATTCCATTTTCTCCCCTCACGTACTTGGTACCCATACTCTTTGTGTAATATTGAGATAGGTATGCCTTTATCCATTTTTTGCCAGACATCGAAACATGCTTCCGCTTTGCAAATCTCACTACAGCTTCAGAATTAGAAATTATTTTTGACATAATTAAAATTCAAACTTCAAATTTTGATAACTGTTATCATAAGCTGGATCAAATTAGAAAGTTAAGGAAGAGGGCAATTGGCTATGAACCTTAAAATATGATAGTGTGCATCTGCTATGTGCTGCCTGCAAAAAATAAGCTGAATCGAATTAGAAAGTTAAAAAGGAGAGCAATTGGCTATGTTAAGTGAACCTTAACCCATTAACCGCCGAAACTGCAAGGAATGTTTCGTTTCTCATGAAAATAATAACAAATATTAAATTAAGCATTTATAACATAAATTTACATTGAAAATAAAAAAAAATGCTCTTACCTGTGGAAAACACGAGTGTTGCGTTCGCGCAACGTCAGCGGAATAAGACTACGGATGTTTAGTGAGTAGGATTGTACTCATGTGATGTTTCTTTCAAGTGGAGCGCAGGATTACTTTTCAGCTGTATAACATTTTATAAATCTACAAATCACTTTACTTGTAATTAATTTAATATTAAAATATACATTGCATTTCTTTTACAAATACAGATTATTTCAATTGAAAGATTCAAGCATGAAAAGCTTACTTACAATCATGATGTAAAGCTACATTACGTACTTTGCATCTATAAACAGTCTGGCTATGGTACTCTTTACAACAATGTCTTTTGTTATCAACGGACTTTATGATAAAATGTCTACCATCTCCATGCAATGGTGAAATTAGTAGGTTTACTAGGTTATTTTGAATGCTGAATTTACTAGGTCTTCCTGTTGCTGATCTATTTCTGGCTGATTCTACACTCTCAATAGGAGTTTGCAAAAGGAATAATGCATTCTCGCATCTGAAATCTAAAAGAGACTTTATATTTCCAGTAGTAAAAAGTGGTGATATTTAGTAAGTTTAGATACAGTCTCACCTCATATAATTTATCAGTATTGGCAATTTGACTATTGTCAAATGCAAATTCTGCTTCATATTCCTGTACTGCAAACGTGATATCGATTCTTGTGCAACAGGAACAGAAATGTCCTTATCAAAAGACCAATACATTTTTCTTGAGGTAAAGAATGATATCCTGTATGCAATAAATTCTGGGCCCTTTTTTTTTTTTTTTTTTTTTTTTTTTTTTTTTTTTTTTGTTTTTCTGAGCGTATATATTTGTCTGTTCAACGAGAAGAGAGTAAATGTCTAAACCAAATCGAAAATCTGTGCACTAGTTTTACCTTATATTTTGTCTTTTATAATTTCTCTTCTATCTCTTTCTTCACGTTCTTCCTGAGACATAACTAACAGTTCCTTTTTTATCCACTTCAAGATATCAGTCTTCTGCTTTTTAAACTTTTTAGTATGACTATAACTGCTGACTGCTTTTAGAAGGCTGAAACTTACTTCTTACGTGATTTTTCAACTTCCCCAGCAGTATCATTTGGTAAAATATCATTATCATTATTTAAAACATTGCCATTCCTTTCTTCTTCGTCACTAGATTCTACAATTTCTGGAGGAACAACAACAATATCAGTTTCATTCTGGTCATTATTAACATTATCATCATCTGTTTCTTCATCAAAAAATCTTTGAAGGGCTTCTTCTAATGTAAAGATACCTCATTCTAGGCATTTTTAAACAACCAGAACATCGAAAGGAATGAGTGAAAAAAGAGATTGACTACCAGATTCCTGCTGATGTTACGTCAGCGCAACACCTGTTTTCCCTTCCTTCCCAACACAATTATAAACATCTGACTGATGTAATGTTCTGATGAACGGTGACCTTGACTAAAAATGGATCACTCATAAAGACGGCAAATCTTTCGTTAAATATTTTCAGCAAAAATACCCGGTCGAAAATTTTGCTTTAAGTTTGAGATTAAATATTATAAACAAAATGATTGTTGAAGACAAATATTTTTTTACAGAAATAATCTTCATAATATTCACTACACAAAATCATCTGCTGGTATAAATATCTTAGGTAGTTATACTTATATACGCATTTATTTTGACCGTTGCGTCAACGCAACACCAGCGGCTAATGGGTTAAAATTTAATCTGCTGTACCAACTTCTCTACTCCTATGCCAACAAAAGAAAAGCAGTATAAGCAACATCCCATTCAAAGCAAGTATGTCTCAGGGTTTCACTTATTGTTTAGATCAGGTAAACAATACTAAACCCTTCACAACCTTTCAAAGGCATGGCAAATGTCAATCAATGTATTGTCACTGACTTGGTGCGATTTGCTAATCAGCAGGTGTTTGAAAGTATATTGTAAGAATATTGGTCTGGGAAAAAATTTCTTTTATGCCACAGCTGCCTTTTTTTAAGTATTTTATTCTTCATTCCTAGGCTTAAAAGTAAGTAATAAAGGACTTGGTAAAGGAGAAAATTTTGTTAATCGTGAGGTCTGAATATTGGAACGTCTTGATTTCAGACTGCATTCTGTATCCCTTAGGATAACTTATGTAAAAGTTTTAAACTAATTGCATTTTATTTTAGAAACTATTATATTCCATTACCAGTCAGAATTTTTGTCTGATTTTGGTTCTAAATTAGCAAGAGAGAACATTGACATTTTAGAAACATTAATTCATAAGCTAAATATTGATTTCAGGTTGCATATTAAAAAACGTAAAAAGTTTCTTAATTGTTTTTGATTTATGAAATAATAGAGCTATATAAAATTCTTTAAAGTTCAGTTTAATTCAAGCTAAGCACCTAGAAAATCCTTCACAAAGGTATCTTTCTTGTAGGTGGATAATCCTTGTATGCTTTCCAATAACCAAATTATGTATGTAATTATATCGTTTGATTAATGGTCTGAATCTAGACTTTTATTCATTCTGAGTTATTTTTCATTCCTTTTTATATCTGTCTTTTAAAGCCAAACTGCTTACAATTTCATGCTGTTAATAAATTTTGCACCTATATATTTTACATAATTTTAAGATTTTGCTTTTAAATGTTATTCAGAAGTTTACATTTAATGGCATTTTATTTAATATAAGTGTTATTGCATACTTTCAGTGCAGTTTACATGTTTTAATCTCATTTACACATTTTTATCTTGAAATAGGTTATCAAAATATTGTTACCAAGAGCGCTTCATTAGTGAGGAAGCTGAAAAGTCCATGTCGATATTCTAAACCATGATTCATTTTTCTATAATTATTATTGCTATGGCTACCTTTTTATTAGTTGTTATTGTAGTATTAATATTTACAATAAAAATTAATTTGGCATTGGATATATAGTGTATAAAGATTTAAGTGTATTTACATGTATGTATTTGAAATAAATGTATTTTAATATATATATATATATATTTTGCGGCAAATTTTCATATTTGTGTCAAGTCAGAATTTATGTTAAAAATCCTATTTTTGTATTATTTGTAACTTTTAACAGCTTTATTTCACAAAAGAAGAGCACTTTTTAATGTTATTGAATTAAGAAAATCTTTCTCTTATAATTTCCAAAAAATTTTAGCTTTATAAAAAAGAATATTCAGTACAAAATTCTCATTGTTAAATAAATCTATAAATTTATTCTAAAATATTGCCATCTATTATTATACAAGAATTGCTAACAAGAACATCTGTGAAAAAGAGCAACTAACATCATACTTATGAATTGCTGTTGGATTACTTAATTTTGGTTCTTTCTGGATCTATCACTGCTATCCATGGTGGTTTTACATTACAATGAAAAAAATTTTGTGAACAGTCATATTTCCATCAACGGTTTTAAGCTGGCGTGGGTGTAGGAATATAGGTACCTCAGGTTGGTACCACACTAAAAATTAAAACAATTTGATAAAAGGTACAGAATGTACAAATACACTTTATTCAGATGTAGTTACTCCCCACAAGTAGTTGTAATGATGCAGATGAATAATTTTCAAAGATTAAATAAAGATAAGAGGGCCTCTTCAAAAGATATGCTGATCTCGTATGTAATGTGTGTTTCGTACTAGATTTGAATGAGGTTTTAATTTCTTGCAGTAGCACTTTCCCGTCTCATCAGTTGAGGGGTAATTTTTATTTATCTGATTATTTACAATTAAGTGGCAATAGTACTCTAACAAGACAGTGAACTGTGAATGACACACAGTGTCACTGTCTTGTTATGACGATCTCAGTGTTATAGTGACAAAGGTATGGCTTAATCTCCGCTTTTTGTTGCTTCATATTGTGACACTGTGGTGAAGTCGCACTGTGGCAATGTTATGAAGTCTTACTGCGATTGTAACTTCATGTAGTATTATGCCTTTCACATACATGTGAGAGTAAACCTGGCAACAACGGCAGTGTTATGCTTGGGTGCAGAATTTTGCATTAGCAAATTAATAAAAAGCTTTAATGTCATTGTGGGTGTGTTTAATTTGTAAATATAACTATAAATATAAGATTTGTCCAGAAAGTAGTAGGACTGAATTTTTAAAATTTTATTCATAATTTTCACATATCAACTTTGTAGTTTTAAAAATATGCCTCTTCTGCATCAACAAAGTGCTTCCAGCAACTCTGCCGGTCACTGAAGGCTTCCTGGAAAGCACTGCGGCTCCCTTGTTACAGCCTCTTGAATGGCCTGAACTGAGCCATGGTGCCATCCTTTCATGACTCTTTTTCATGCAGGGGAAGAAGTCTGAAGGAGGAACATCTGGGCTGTACCTGTACTTGAAAGACTCAGAAAACGATTTGCCCATGTTCATCCAGCAATAGCTGGATCGTGGAGGTTCCATCGCGACAATGCGACAAACCACATCGCCTTTGCTGTCGATGATTTTGTGCCAAAACATTGCATCACACAGCTTCCCCAGCCACCCTACAGCCCAGATGTTGATCCTGCAGACTTCATGTTCTCCTGACTGAAAAGAGTCATGAAGGGACAGCACCATGGCTCAGTCCTGTCCATTCAAGAGGCCGTGATAAGGAAGCCTTCAGTGATTGGCAGAGTCGCTGGAAATGCTGTTGATGCAAAAGGGGCATCTTTTGGAAACTATTAAGTTGATGTTTCAAAATTGTGAATATTTTTTTTAAAAAAAAAAGATCAGTCCTACTGCTTTCTGAGCAAACCCTTTATAAGTGTATTAAATGTTCAAAAATGGCAGAATGATTTTGTCGTAATCGTCTACACTTTCTATGTCAGAGCCCATTGCAGTCAGATTTACAAAGAATTTAATATTTAGCTTTAAGAATGTTTTGAGAGTTTTGCTGTATGACATAAAGTAACAGGAATGTAATATAATAAATTTTCATGAGTGTAATGTTGTAAAATGGTTAATGGATGCCGTGCAACATTGCATTACTTTTTGATTGAGTAGTGTATTGTCACAGTACTCCTATTAGAGAACTGCTTCAGTAAAACACAACTACAAGAATATTTTTATTAATCCAATGAGAAGTTATGTTCTTCAAGTTATTATTATGGAAATATTTTATTCCACATTTTTTAGCTATTGAAAATATTTAATATAATTGTAAAAATTTCTCATTGTACTGAGGTTATATCTCATCCTGTTAATATTATATAATTGTGTTATGTTTATAATTTATTACATTCTCTATAAAACTGTGTACTTTCTGTAGAATGTATTACCGTATTTGACGGCATATAAGATGCACCCTTATTTAGAAGGCCATGCACATGTAGATGTAGAAAAAGTTATGCACATGTGTGTTTAGATCTTTATCCGGGCTAAAAATAGCATTCAGTATTGAAAGTTAACCTGTGTCCTTCATGTATAAGACGCAGGTAACTTTTTTGAGACCAAATTTAGGCAAAAAAGTGTCTTATATCCCGTCAAATATAGTATATATGATTCAAACGTGATCATGTGGGCATTTTCCAAGCATATTACATTGCTATTACTTTTAAGTACAGTCAAAAGTCTTTAATCCATAATCCGGACCTCAAAGCTATAAATTTTCTGCGCATAATACGTTTACACATGCACGTTTAATGTATAACGGACGGTATGAGCTAAGCTAAAATTATCTATTTCAGTTAATGTTGTAGATTGCGTTGTTTCTTATTTTTCTAATTGGATACAGCTTATTATGTTTTGCAATCTGTTAGAGCAATTTTATAAAAGTAAGCTTGAACTTTCGATTATGTCAAAAAGGATTTCCAATTCTGGAGCTACCAAAGCATCTACAAAGCGAAAGCATGTTTCGATGTCCATCAAACAAAAAGTGGAATTGCTGCAAAAAATTTATAAAGGCATATACTTTGATTCTCTAATCATTCCGAAATGTGTTTATCAATTTCACGCTGCTCTGGGGGGACGATGCGGTGCACAATGAACTGGAAGTTGATCTGTCAGCACTAGCCTTATCTTCAGGGCAGATGTTTTTATTTTATTCTGCTTATAATTCCTTACTAAATGTAGTATATCATCTCGATGTACTCCGTCTCTGATATGATTTAAATCAAATTCCTCATCATTATAAATATCACGAATACACATCAAATAGTTTTCTGGTTGCAATTTTCTAATTTTGACTATGCGTAATGTATGCTTTACGCATGCATGCGTTGAAAGAAATGTTTAATAAAGTAAACAAATAAATATACAGCTTTTTTTTTTTTTTTTTTGTAAATTTTCATACCCTTTAGATCATAATTGCTCTTTATTTCATAAATTACGATTTCATATTTTTAATTTTATAATTTCTGCATGCCATCTTACTAGATTTAAACTGATGATCTATAATCCGGAATCGCCGAAGTCCCGACGAGTCCAGTAATGTAGCTTATATGTAGTAATATACTTTGTAATGTAGCTCTCTTCTTGGCAGATACATTATGTGAATCAGCATAATCCAAATTAAGAAACATGATTCCAATATAAAATGATGTTGCTCAAATTTATACTATATTCAGATTAGTTTGTGTGTTATTTGATCAAAAAAAGGTGATGCTTTAGTACTTCACCATAAATTACACCATAAATTACAGCATGCACACTACAGCTGACTTTCAATGAGTTTATGAAGTCTCCACACAATAGAAGCAACATAAATGATTCTCTAAAGCTTTTGGTGGATGAAGGAAACGTCTAATCATTCCTAAAGGTCCTTCTTTAGTGTATCCCACATAAACTCAAGAAGAGTGCGATCAGAACTTCATGACAGGCAATCTGTGCATATGTCTCATGCTCAACAAATCTATCACAATTCAAGCTTAACAGTACTTGGCATTATCATCCTACCTGTAATTTACACTACCATCAGGATAAAAAAAGGTCATTCACTAGATTCAGATTACCAACTGACTTCTCTTCATGCACAGCATTACTGAACTAGGTTTAACCAAATAGAAATAAAGCCTAAATCATAGATTCCCACCAAATGTCCTCACATTCATAAAGTATGATATCTTCTTGGGTTAAATAGTTTCTTCGAGCCATTTCAAGGTAACCCAGTAAAGCTGCAATTTAAAATAAATTTACCTTCAGATTATTATATATTGCACAGTGAAAAAATACAAATTATAATGAAATATATTAAATAATTTTAATAAATTGTAAAATTGAATTTCAAGTTTTACAATTATTTTAACATTAATGAATCAGGCTAAAATTACAATATAAATGAATGTTTATACACATGTTTAATTCCATCAAATTTGATATTAAAAAACCGATAATCCGGAATCGCCGAAGTCCTGACGAGTCTGGATTAAAGACTTGACTGTAATACCAGTCCAGAAGCTACATGATTTTGCTTTCTTCAGAATTTAATATTTCATATTTTCTCAAATTTCTAAATTGTTTTAAAAGTAAGAGTTCTTGTTATAGCTTATTAAAAACTTAACTACATTTCTTAATTTAACAGGTTTTTTCCTCTTTAAAAATGGAAAAATTAAAAGAAATTCTATTTGGCTTGCAATATTTTTTGTTTGGCTTTTAATACTGGTCTTTCTTCTCTCTTTCTCAATTCCTTAATTGCTTTTCCTTCCAGAAAAAGAATTACATTATTATATTAGATGAAATAATAACTGTTTTATTACTATAATTATAAGATATTTATCTATTTGAATATTTTGTATAGCAGAATGTTTTGAACAAAAAGCTTTTGTAAATCAGCACAATCTTGAAGTACAATTTTAATTTTCAAATTAGTGATTTCTTGTTTAATCTGTAATACTTGATGTATAATTATGCGTACAAAAATAAGTGGATTAAAGTGTGGCTCTGGTAACTAAATTACAGAAAATTTGGTTATAAGCATGCATTCTCTT